GTTTGCCTCACATAAGTGCCTGACCAGGGATCAAACCTGCAACTTAGATATGTGCCCTGACCAGGAATCAAAGCCAAAACCTTTGGTTGTACCAGACAAACGACACTCCAAGTAAGCCACCCAGCTGGGACCCATATACAATTTTTAAAAACTCAGTACTGAACAGAAAAGTAAATATAATAAATAAATTCTGAATCTTCACATGATGCTACGTTCACGCTTTTATTTTTAAAAATCTAATTCCTTTAAAAAATTATTTATCTTCCTTTCTCTCTAGAGACAAATAAGGGACAGAAATGAAAATCATATTTGGAATCGGCTATACAAACTGGCATCTCAGAGGTCTCTGATGTCCTTAATAACACATAGTCAGAGGGAGACAGAATAAGACACTGCACAGACAGTGAATATGGCAGGATGGTAAGCAAGAGCAAGGCCTTTTTTTTAATCGGAAATTTTTCTTTAAAGCAGAGATCATCTCATTTCGTCTTCACATGAAACTTATAAGGCAGGTACCGTTATTATTCCCATTTTGCAGGTGAGAAACGGTACGAACAGGAAATTATTGGCTTGGCGTTGCACATCTGGTAAGGCGCAGAGTCAAGGAGACTGAAACTCAGGTCTGGCTAATTTTTTATATATACATATATTTCAGAGAGGAAGGGAGAAGGAAAGAGAAATAGAAACGTCAATAACGAGAGAGGATCACTGATTGGCTGTCTCTTACACGTCCCCTCCTGGGATCGAGCGGAAACCGCGGCCTGTGCCCTTAGCTGGAGTAGAAGCGGGACCCTTCGGTCCGCAGGCTGGTGCTCTATCCCCTGAGCCAAGCCAACTGGAGCGGGGTCTCACTGACTCTTCCTCACCAAGAACATGTATAAATACGGGAGGTGGAGAAAATGGCCATCTTCCACTTCTAAAAACCCTCATTTCTCGGTTTTATACGCAGTCCCACGCGAGTATCCCCAGCATATTTTTCCCTTCAGTGGGCAGTTACTTTTTGTTACCCAAATGCTTCCCGTCACTGTGGGGAGAGGAGGGAAAGCTGTAGGACGACCACTGAGAAAAAGCGGCAAAGGGGCAACACCGTTGGTTTACTGGCCTCCTCTCAAGAAATTTGGCAACCTGCCCGCGCTGCAGAGGCCTGCAGCCGGGAGGTGGGGGTGCCTGGGGTCTGCCGGACGCGGGAGTTGGAGGTGCAGGTGGTGGCCTCAGGGG